CCCACAGGTCGCCCAACTACTCATTCGCTGGAAGTAGTAGAATTCCACTGCTCCAAGGCCTAGCGCCCTGAAATACTCTTTGCCCACATAATGTCTCCAGTCACACCTGTGGTGACAACAAAGCGCAATAACAATGCCAGCCACAGGGGTCTGCTTCTCTGGGACACTTCGTTCATTTCCTTCCTTGGCCAAAGTGTTCATTTCCTTTTCTGTTTTATCATTCTTTATGCGTTTGGCTAAAGGTTCTTCATTCCTTTCCCCGTAACTGGCAGCATAGGTTTCAAGCAAACATTGTAATGCAAGATCTGTGAACACAATTATGTGCCCCCTCATACCACACATCTTTAAAAATAAGTACTTCTTAGATTTCTTAAGCTGTATGGTTTTTAAAAACCATAAAACCCAGCAAAAACATACTTAGCTTTATACTTGTAATAATAAATAATAATTCTATTATACATTATAAATTTTGCTCAAATTTGCTTTCCTACCTTAATTTTTCTAGTGATTTATTCTGCATAGAGTACGTCCCAATAAAATTATCTGAAGCTTAAAATCTGTAATGTGAAAAACTTCTGTCCAAATACCTCAACTGTCTTTCATTTCTCCTGTCCTAGCTGAGAAAATAACTTGTATAGAAAGCATCTATATCTATTATCTATGTGTACACACACACACACACTCACACACTTATTCCAGGGAAGTTTCGAGTGTAAGAAACTCAAAAAGAGAAATGAAAGGCAATTTGGCTTAGAATACTGACTCTAGGGTCAAGAAGGTGGTATTTTTTTTTCAAACAGGGTCTTATATAGCCAAAGCTGGTCTCAAACTCCTGATCCTCCCGCTTCCCTTTCCAGGTTTTGGGGTTATGGATATGTGCTTCCACACCTGGCTAAGATGCTGGTCTTGAAATGTAGGATGGTCACAGCAAATACTGATAAATTGAAAAGCTGAGAAAAGTGAGTCTGAGTAAGGAAAGTGGGCTGCACTGAACAGCCTTGCTGTAGTCAAGCATTCTTTCAGCAAATATTTGTTAAATGCCTGCATGTGCGAATACTAACTAAACATACAGAGAAGGGTATGGGAGCCACATTAAAATGAAAAAGTAGCCTGTTTTAAAATGAAAAAGTTGAATTTCAGATTACTATG